TGGATCTGTCTATCTGATTCTTGTCGGGAAATGATCAGTTTTTACCTGAAAATACTGCGAGTGAGCATTATGGAAAGGTGAAACATCAACTTCAGGAGGAAATTTTTACATACCATCCGCAGTAATCGACGGTTGTAGTGACGTGTTTTACATATGTATCGTTACGTGAAAATGAAACAGTTGTTGTGTGTGGTCTTATTTTATAATGAGTAACTAAACGTTTTACTAGCTTTTCAAACTCAATGTTATTGGTCTAACTTTATATGTGTTCAAATCAAGATTCAAAATTAACCAGTATAGTAGCGCTGGTGAGCCGAGTTTGAATTAGTGCGATACCACAAAATATGTATTCCTACTTTAAGCTGTGGGAGAATTAAAAGAGTGACAGTCAATCCCTTAGGTGGATGAGAGGTGATAGGGTACGGCTGATTGGTTGCCTTTTCCTTGGTCAATAGTTGAAATGCAGGAAGAGCGATTGATAAATAGCCTTAGCAGCTTTGTCAAAAATAAATTGTAATTGCATAAGCGAATCATAAAATAATAATATTTTTCGGTTATATCTATTGAGAGAATTAAATGAAAAACAGGGAAGGAAAAATGATATTTGTAACTTTAAAAAATTCCTCGCGTTTTTCAGATATAATGACTTTGAAATCATGAAACCGGTGCCGCTCGTGGTATTTGAAACCAAAACTGAACATATTAAAACATTTTTACAAGAAATTAATAGAGGGAGACCATTCCATTACACACATATGCGTGTAAAAGGTTTTGGGTCATCACCTGCAAAAGTAATTCTATCTTTTTAACCTTTTCACTTCAAACAACCAGAACATCAGTTTTTAACGGATTATGGAAATTCACAAGGGAATGGCTAGTTGGGCTCAATCCCCTGTCCCAAAAGTGCCCTTTTTCTCTGTCATAAAAATTATCAACAATTACTCTGATTCTACACCTTGCTTGTTGCGAGTTATTAGAGGAAAAATCAGTTTTAAAAAGAATGGCACACAGAGACTTATAGGTCTTTACAGTAAAAATAAAGTTTTAAGTTAATACGCAAGAATTCACTGTTTATTTTTAGATTTTAAAAGTGTTTATAAGACCAATTGAATAGGAATAAAAGAGGCTTGACCTGTTTACTGCTTATGACTCTTTATACTTTGTGTACCAGGGTCAACCCACAGTATTCCATAAAATCCCTACCCCTCAAAACCAGCGTGCTTTACGATATTTGAAAATCACCCTTTTTTTGTCAATAAGCCCCTGAACTTTTAATATCCTCTGAATGTTCGGAACCGGAATCTATATAAATATATTAGTACTGTCTGTTGTCTGTCCATGTAACTACTTTGCAGGGTGTGAATGGATCTTCACCAAAATTGGTATAGAGGAGACACATACAAATTTTCAGTTTTGCATTTTGTGGACTTTTTTTACCACTACTTCGCCCCCTGTTGGTTGATCTTCACCAAATTTGGCATGAAGGTTTGTTGAGTCCATGCGGAGATACATGCAAACTTGCGGTTTCATATTTTGTATTTTGCTGTTTTTATTGGCGTTTTTCACAATTACATATAGGAGAAGCAACTTTTCATGTCCCAAGATAACCTTTCATTAATCATGAATTTACATAACTTCTGTCCAGGAGACGAGTACTCCAGCTAGTAAAATATGGGGATTTATAACTGTGGAATAAACGAAAATAGATACAGAAAAGATAACCAAAGTTTGTTGGGTAATGTAAAAA